GAAAGTATTGCTAGAAAAGTTGCAATTACCACCAAAATACCCATAATAATTGCAGCAATCATTGCCCCACTTAACCCACCTTTGCTCATATGGGTAGACTTAATATTGCCACTCGAAGTCATTCCAGGAGGAGGTTGCCCAGAAGACCAAGAATTTCCTTCAATGCTTCAAAAATAGTACTAAATGTTAGTGATGTTACTATGACAAACTCAAGCAAACTATATTGATTTGTTACTTCCCAGTAATCTAAGGCAACATCAACAATAATATCCCAATGCCCCCAAAGAGGCTCTTAAGTAGGCGAGAAAAGCTTTGATGAGAGAGGTCCAATAATCTAAAGTGAGACAAAACTAGACAAGAATTTATGCGTATACAGATACTTACTCTATTTTTTTCATTTTAGTCAACTCATTAGGGATCCAACCACTGAATTTGTTGTTGGCTATATTGCTGCAAGCATGACATATAGTTTTATCAAAGATCTCCAGAGAAAAGCAGGCATGCCAATCTAAAACATGAAATAATGCTTAACATAAGCATATAAGATGAGATAAAATAACATTTATTAATCATCTTGAACTCTGTTGAGATAGAACTATTTGTTTCTGAATCATTCACAATAACATATTTCTGCAAACTCTGCATGCAACCTCACCTCACCATAACAATAGTCCTTCACCATACCAATAGTCCTCCTTTCACTTTGTTATGTGTTCCTATCCATTATGTAATAACTGCACTCTCAAAATATCTTTCTCTCTTCCAACGTATGATAAAAAACTTTTTTTTTTCAAAAAAAAAAATAAATAAAAATAAAAAGGTTGTATAACCAAAATATGAGTGTTTGACATCTTCCGAAGAGATGAGAACATAATGTATAAATCCTCCTTTATATTGTCATATTGCGAGTGCATCTTTCATTGCATAACTTAAAAAATGGATAGTCGGGCATGTATCATTCTTAGGGGGAGAGAGAGAAAAATATCATTGAGATATGTGCCTGTAAAGGTATTTTGAGGTACAAAATATGTGTGTAATTTTTACCCCAAAAAAATGTGAAAGAATTTAGTAAATCCATTTAAGTGTAAAAAATATTAAGGGGCGGAGGGAGTAACAATTAAGGCAGCTGTCACAGCACATAAGTAGCCACCATTACATTCGATTTCATTAAACATTGTATTGGTTCTCTTTTAATACAGGAGACATGAGAGCAGTATGCAGTACATATTTCCACCTGTATTTACAAAAAGAGGGTCCTTGATTCAAATGCAAGAATAGAATGTAGCAATATATGGATGCAAAGGAAAAAAAAATATATCAAATCAAGACTCAATAAGAGATGTTTCTGAGTAAGAAAAACTGATGAGAAGATTGTATCGCAAAAATTATACATCAATGCATCTTATGTAGGATATATAGTAGAATAAGGTAAATGCATAGCATAGCTCCATCTTGAAAAAAAGAAAAAGAAAAAAATTCTAGTCAATATCATACAAAGTACAAATAACCAACTTACAGCTCGTCAAATTTTAACTTTCCAAGCACATTTATCTGGCCATTAAGTTGATTGTTCTGAAGATGCCTGTCATACAAACAGGTTCAGCTACATGAATTTCTTAAGGCACAACGGTATATGCAATTATTTCTTACAGCGTAGAAAGGCTTGAAAGAGATTCAAAACTCTGAGGCAAGCTGCCAGATAGTTTGTTGAATGAAAGATCCCTGCATCATTCAGCAATATGAGCAATGATCACCAGAGTGACAGAATCAAGCAAAAACAGGCAGCATCCATCTGATAACAATGCATGGTAAACAAGTCTCTACATAACCTAAGAAAGATGCAAATGTGACAATCCATCCTTCATCAAACCATGCTCCGTCCAAAAAGGCTATAACTTCAGATGTACATTATTTGGGTGGAATATAAATCCATAGAGAGCCACATCAAGTTATTAGTTCAGATTAGATATTTTCAAAACTAGAATGGAGTTATTTTGTCATATTGTCAAATTATGGTTTAATAGCTTGAATTTGAACTAATATCTTCTAAAAGATTGTATATGGATTTTGGGACTTACAAATTCATAAGAATAATTAGCTCAGAGCCCAAAATCCAATGATGGTTCAGATGTGGACCATTTCATATGAGTTATCAAACAAGAACGTACAATCTTCATACATTGCAAGTTTGCAACAAACGGACATCTAACCCCACTGAGCCACCTCCCTTTTCTCTGTAGGGACATTTTTTTGGCATCATATGTCCAGTCTCCAAAATACTTTGCATCCAATATTTCATACGAGCAAAAATTTAAATGTCCTATCATCTGTGGTGCTACATTACCATTAACTCTTGTTGTCTTATGCTTACCATTATAACTGAATGTGATACCATTCACTTATATAGCACTTGCAACTTCAGTCCCTTTGAACAACTATTTCTTTTCTTAACCCCCATCAAGATTAAAAGAGAGGACACCAAAATCTCAACTCAACAATTAAGACCTAAAGAAAGATATATCCCTATATCAGAAACAATATTCAAGCTTGCGTTTCTACTTCAACTTTCTTATAATGCACCGGTAATCTATATATATCATGAGATAAAACAAAGAAAAAGAAGCACCGATTGAAAGGTATGAAGCTATCAATCAATCATCAATCAATCAAAGCCTTAATCCCCATAAGTGGGGAAAGGTATGAAGCTATGAAGCAACAAAAGTTCTAGAGTTAAACAAGTTTGACGAAAGCACTTACAGGAGACCAAGATTTGAAAGTGAGCTAAACATGTCAGTTATCTGACCATTCAGCTGATTATGACTTAGGTCTCTGCAGTGCACAAACATACACAAACTTAACAATGAATCAAATGGCTCGAAGCCTCGAACAGGCCACAGATATGATTCTGATAAGAATAAATAATAAAGCAAACATCACTTACAGGTCTTTAAGGCTTTTCATTTGTGAAACAGAATAAGGAACAGTACCAGTAAAGCCATTGTTGGACAGATCACTGATAATCACAGCAGTATTAAGAACTCAGTCAACTAGCAGAATCAAGTTTGGAATAAATAATCTGACGAAAGTGTGCAACAAACACATTGAATAATGATTAATTGATGCCTTTCAAAACTACACTAGTTGTAACAACAAGCTAGTTCTAGTAGAGCCAAAGCAACAAAAATGAATAGGATAACTATATATCAAAATCTCGAAAAAAGAGCAATAATCTTTACAGCCTCGCTATGAATACCTCTCTCAGAAGATATGGGGTGACATTCACATTATGCAACTAAAAATTAACATCATAAGCAGCTCAGGCAACACACTTAAATAGCAAGTTCGAAAATATCTCACACTCACAGGTGTTTCACATTGGGAGGAAGTTGATAAGGTATGTCACCGCTGAGTTTGTTGTTGCTCACATCGCTGTTCCATGACAAACAGATGCATATTTAGTAGGTTAACGGGTTATTTCCTTGATATTGTGAATAGTAAATAAACTACGAAACTAAGACAAAGCAAATACGAGATAAATAAGCTCACAAGTAGGTGACTGATGCAAGGTTTGATAACTGATAACCCAGTGATCCTGTCAGTCCTAACCCAGATAAATTTCTACAAAAATTGATCAAAGAAAAACAAAAATGTCAAAATTTATACAGTAATTAAGAAAAATATTGCTGAAAACTATAAAAATTTGGAGAATATACATTTCAGTGACTGAAGATTTAGAACATTCAATGCCTTTCCATCCATCACCACAAGGATCACCACCATCTGATTCCCAATCCTTCAACTTTTTAGGAGAATTCAGGCTTGTGAACATCACATTAAGGGCAGTGACTATATACAAACAATAAAAACAAAGATTCAATCAACCATATAATCATATAACAACAAAAACTCGAGAAAGTTTATGTTATTATCCGGCATTGATCAATCTCACACACATGAACAGTAAAACCGCTAACATAGACTTCCTTAAACCAACCCACATCATATCATATATAAAAGGAGGAAATAAGAAAATCTAAGAAAGAATTACCATCTTTAGAATCAGTTTTGGAGTGCACTAATGTAAAAACCCCACAAAAGAAGAACCATAATAATAATCCTATGAAATTGGGGGACATTTCGGAAAACCCAATTCCCAAAAAGGACAGATAGGATCAAAGACAGACATACAAATCAAAGCAGCAAATTCATCAACAAAAATTCTGGATTTTGAAGATGAACACCATGAATGAAGCAGGAAAATTTTTGAGAAAATGGAGAATTTCCCATAACTACCCAGAAATTCTATGTTTCTAAAATTGGATTGTTGAGGCATCATTTCTGCTCTCTCTTTCAATCTAGTGTTTTGGGTGCAAAGTTGATGCATGCCAAATTTAGGAAAATCCTAATATGTTGGGAGAGAGAAAATAAGGGAATTGAAACTGATGACAGATAAACCGTTGAGTTCGCCCCATCTCTTGGAAAATCTAACATCTTGTTTTAATCTTCATCTTCATAGCCCCTCTTCATTTGATCTATTCCCCTCTCTTCGACTACTGTAAAATACTCCCTCCGTTTTCAAAAGACTGTCGTTTATTTTGTATTTGTGGTACGACCAGGGTTGTGTTTTGTGTATAAGCAATTTTATTTCATTTCTAAACTGATACAGTATTAATTTAGACATATACATCAATATCATACGGTGATCAATGTAATTATTGTTATATGCAGCGCTAAAGACTTTCGGAATTCTTTCACGAAATTTTTACATATACAAAAGTAAGGATACTAATGGTACTAACATATGAGTCTTCTCTTTGAATGGAAGAATGATACAAGCAATCTTGAAAAAACACTAGTCTTAATTCTGCCAGACAATACATGATGAAAGATTCTACAAGAACAACTTAGCTGAATATTACACATAAAGTATAAACATATGATTGAAACTTTAGGCACCACCACACCGGAGAGCTTGAGAAGACAAGAACTTCCCAAGAAAATAAATCGGAAGTGTAATTCTATTCAATTGATTCTATCTGAATTATTCAGAGCCAGCTTTGTTATGAAATATTACATCAATTTCAATTAACAAAAACAACAATATATCAACTTGAGTATCATATCTCTTACATATTGAAAAAAAACAATGACAGAAGACACTCTGTATGTCATCGAATCTAAAATCAACAGTTACGACTTTGTGGTTTTTGCTCATAAATTAAGCACAAGGAAAGTGCAGTTATACATAAATCACATGTGAGTCGATTTGCAATCAATACACTTTTATAATATCTGTACTCACATATATACAATTCCAAGCTTAGAATGAGCACTATCTTTCTGCCATCTTCTTCCAATTCCTCTGGAATATGAGGTACAGATATGAGTCAATGAGGAGCCAATGGCTGCATATCTGGAATTCACGACAGATGAAATGACGTATAAACTTTTTTATTAGCCCTGCTGCTTCTGACCAGATGATGAGCCCCGCTTACTTAACTTCTTCAAAACACAAGCGATGGCAACTTTGGCACCTAGACCCGGATTGCCGTGGGATAAACAGATTAAGCCTCCAAGAAGAAGCAAGCCATTAGCTATCAATTTCTTTGAAGGCTTCCTCTTGCACTTTTGAGAATTAGGTCCATTTTCCTGACCACTGACACCATTGCTAGAACCAGAACCAGAAGCTATATCTGAAGGTGCTGCTCTAATAATGACATCTAGTTCACGGGGAACCTACATCCAAGATAAATCACCACTACAATCATGCTGTATTATAGATGGAAATCTAAGTAGATAAAACATCTGCAAAATCTTACATCACTACTAAACTAGCACACAATAGAGATTGTGGTCTACAACCAGAAGTTCCAGAGTATCCAGTTATACCTACCACCACAAATGCAGAGGAATGCTTCCTACTTATATAAACAACTTTACTAAAATGTTTTTACAGAGGTCCCACCCAGGGTGGGGCAAGCATCGATCAAACGTACGCAGTCTAAGTCTCAACCCTGCAAATATAGAGGAAGTCTCCTGTTAACCTATGATCTAGATCACCATTTACTATAATACGACAAATTAGAAGCATGGCTGCATAGATAGTAAATGAGCCCTTAGCTGATATATATAATCCAAAAGCCAGCAAAATGTAAACCTCCACATTTTTAAGCTTCGATTGCTGTATTAATTACACTTAACATTTTGCTAAACTATATCCTAAATTTCAGTTCAATGAAAATGAGTATATTGACCCTGCAGCTAGGAAACTTCAATGTAATAGTAATACAGTATTGCTTTAAGCAACCTTGCTAATCATATAGATTACCACTACAAGTTTTAATTGCTGTATCAATCACTTCTTCATTCTGTGCTAATAAAAATCTTAAATTTCAGTGCAATGAACATGTGAAGGCAAATGACAGAACACCACCACAACAGGCAGCACAGCAGCCTATACTCTGTCAGTGTTGTATGCGATTAAAAAAAATCCACTTAATGTTAAGTCCTTGTTGATTATGGCCTGGCTTTTTAAAATTGTTTAGATAACCTTTTTTAATAATTCAAGTGTGCAATCGCAAATCATATAATATTCCTAGGCAGCATGCACCAAAAGTCAACACTTCTGCCCGAAGTGCCCATAAAGATAACGTCACTGCAGCATAAGACATCAGAAATTGCCCATGATCACAGTATAAGCAACATCCAAATTTGCATATCTTATGAAAGAATTACCAACATAACAAGATGCCTATGAAACCAGAATATTATTCACAAGTCACTACAGCATCAAACAGTCAAACACCCAACAGACTTCTGCAACTTTCTCAAAAGAGTAAGGTACTCATTCCGCCCAGTCCCAAATTACATACCCACTTTCCTTATACAATGCTCCAAAAAGAGGTACCCATTTCTTTCCCGTCTAGCTCTCTCAACCTCAATACTTTCTTTGATTACTTATTTTCTATCTATCCAATTTTCCTTTTTTTCATTATACAATAAAGCCCCCACTGTAGTAGCTTTTGGACAACATTAGTTTTAGTCTCCATGCCCTGAATCCTGATGCCCTAAATAAGTGGGAACTGCAAAGTTAAAAAAAGGGATGGGGGTAATAGGGTAAATTCACATCTTCACATGACTAACAGTCATCAGAGTACTGACCTACTATATGTACAGAAACAATAGTTACTTTGAGCCAACCCTTCATAAAACGATAAGAAGGTGGCAACAAGGTTTCCCTAAAGACCCGCTATAATAGTTATATCATTCCACATATTCCTTATCACTCATTCTAAGTTGGGATTTTTTTTATATTCAATGTAAAAAACATGACAATTTTTGCGGATATCCCAAATAGTAAACATGGGGATATTTCCAAAGGAAGCTTTAGCTTGCTGACACAGTTTAAAGTGGTTAAAGGAAAAACAGGACAAAAAATAACTGAGCCTAACCTTCTGAATGACAGAAACAGCAGTCGTCGTTGAACTTGACTGCGGATGAGAGATTGAAGAATACTTGCGTAAAGCATCATCCATTTTACAAACATAACCCCATATCCCTTTTGCAAATGCCAACTTTGCGAATTCCACATTCAAACCAGCATCTTCTTGATGCACCATTCTGATTTCACTTGCATTTCTTCCAGGTACTGAAGCAATACAAACTCACCATCAACTCATCAAGTTTGTGATATACAACCACTCCTAGTTTCTTCGTCATAATAGAAGTTCTACATCCTCAATTACTAAACAAGAGAGCACTAATACCTCAGATGATTTTTCACAGAAGACAAAGCATTTTAGAAATACTAAAAAGAATCACCATCACCATCACAAAGATGAAATATAAGTTTAGCAAATGTAGCCATGTAGGCACTCAAAGGACAAGAAAACAATATATATATTTACTTGCCTTGCCGTATTCTCCACCCAGATCTGAAAAATGCAACACGTACATACTTCTTTTGAATAGGTGCCAAAGGATGCTCACATTCCTAATGAAGGTCATCAGCAATAGGCAAATTGTCTCAGGAAAAACACAATCGCAAAATAGCTAAGAAAAGTATAACTCAAAAGCTCAAGACATTTGGGCCAGTAAAAAAAAAATTAATATCGACAAAGAAGCTCTGTGTTTAACACAATGACTCGGTAAAAAAAAACATGCAACATATGAAATTATTAGAGCCACTTGTGAGGATTTGAAGATAACCTAGCCTGCAAAAGGGGGGGAAAAGGACAAGGTGATGAATTGAATATCTAGCTAAAACAATTTGAAATCCTTAACATGATTCCTCAAAAATCTCTTGCATAAAACCTCCTAATGCTTTTGCAACAACAGCATTCATTGCCCCTTCTCTAACAAGAAAAAAAGACAACCAATCCAAGCACCAGTATACTACATAAGGAATGTAAACAGAACAGAAACCAAACATCCTAAACAACTCTAAGTAGTTAATGATAACAAAATCCCTCCGAAGTCGACCACTAGCCACCAAAATGCAGCCCCAACGATTTTTTTTTAGTAATATCAATTATAATACATTGATCAAGAAGATTTGAATTCACTAACGAAAACTAAAGAAAAATATTGTTCCCAGGTGACATGTTACTTGTCGAACATTAAGCTGTTATGATGCACTCATGTACAGCAAGGTAATTCAAGCATATCAACAAATACAGATTATGATACCTCATAATTTTAACTTCCACATCGCAGACAGTATGTCAACCCGGACTTTCTACAATGTTTCAGGAATAAGGAAAATCAGTTGACCTGCTCTTTGAATATTTATTCCAGTCTATTTTGTTTTGTGAAGTACTTAATCATGATTCACATCAATCAAATTTTTTGTAAGAAAAAGAGCATAATAGAATTTCAAAATTTAGCATTGTTGATAGAAATTCTATAAGGCCACAAGGACTATGCAATATCTTTTTTCTGAATGTAGCGTATACAATACTATATGTATTTCGCAAACAGTATGTCACACACCAAACTTTGTCAAACAAAACTTTGAAGAAGCTCTAGTAATATTTTAAGTTAAGATGAAAGGTTAAAAGTAAGATCTCACCTTTGAATAGCAATAAAATATCTTATTGTTGCCTTCCCAAATCTTCCATGCCAAAACATATTCTCTAGGCATCAAAAGAGGAAACTTCTTAATGGTCCTCCCAATCTCAGTTCCACTTTCTTCATCAATCTGCAATTGCTCATGAGCAACCACTGTTTTGTCCCACTGCGTCCTATAATCACAGTCCATATAGAAGTCTCTTAGGGCTGCAGGGGTGCAATTCTCAAAAATAGTCACACTCAAGTATTTGATAGGACCATCCTACATAAAATAACAAAGAAACACAAATCAGTAACACTATTGCAGATTATCAAAGCAACCAAAGTCTTGCTTTAAAATAAAAATAGGGATCAAGAAATGACAAAGGCGTCAGTTAGGGATGAGCAATGGGGCTAAAAATTGAGCAGAATACGCACTAAAAAAAGTGGTCCTACTCTTCTACAACCTACTCATTCTTACAGGCCCATTATACAGGAAAGCTTTATATAACTCAAAACTCTTTCAAAGGTTGATGCATAACAAGATGCAAATTCAAATGGTCACTCTGAAATAAGGTGCAAAAACCATTGCAGTAATCTCTGCTTCATAAACTAGCTAGAAGAAAGACCAAACAGTCACCCGCCAGAAAGCAATTTTACATCTACGCCATAAGGCAGTCAAACACACTTTACTAGGAAAAGAGTTCCACAACTAAAACTCAATAGGAACGTAATGATTGTGTCCTTTGCAAGTAATGAAGGGATTGGTGAGCCATTAAAATATTCTCCACAAGATTGTTCAGACTCTACTCACAAGGTATTTGACATATCCAAAGCCTAAAAGGGAGAGAGAAAGGAGCAATTGGAAAGTAAATTATTCAACTCTATATCCAAGCACAATATGTAAACAATTTAATAGGGATGGTTACCAGTGTACCAGTAGTGAACTCTATGTCAACAAGCAAAGAACATCAGTGGAAACTGCCTAGAAAGAAAATTTTATCACATGCCAACATAAGCTAAAGAAGTACACAGAAATGTCTAATAATTTTATCACTTGGTCAAAATAGACAAATATGCCTACCTATGCCCCCCGAAATAGAGACTATAGAATCCAGATCTAAGGAAACACCTACATGGTAAAACATCCCTCCAATTAAATAAGTAACCAGAAAATGGTGCAATGTTAATAGTTACCTTTGGTTTACAGCATTTTGCCTGGTAGGACATAGAAGTCCTGCTTTTTGCAATGACGTTTTCCCATCTTACATTTTCAGTCTCACTATCTTTCTCATCCAAATTGTCAATCAAGCTTTTCAAATCACCATCTGATACTAGGTCTGATATTCTGCAGATGAAGCACAGAATTTTTAATATGAGAAGTTGAAAAGCATATATATATATATATACTACCTCCATTTCTGAAATTTCGACTCACTTACTATTCATGTGGTCAAAATAAAATAACTTTGACCACATTTTATGATTTATACAATCAAAATAAATTAACAAGTTTGGTCTTATTAGATTCCCCTACTGATAAATTTTTCAAATATCAACTTTTAAAAAAATTTACTTATACATAGCCGAAGTTATTAATGGTCAAAGATGTTCATTGAAGACTGTGCAAATGCAAAGTGAGTCGAACTTTTAGGAACGGAGGGAGTATATATATATATGTATATACTTTGCACTCGTAGCACACAGTCAGCCCATGAAGACCGGGATAATCTGTACAATAAACATCTATGCTCTTTGGTGCAGATCAAATCCAGCCCAAATAGAAAATTAGAATAAAAAGGCAATAGAGAGATTGATATTTGGAGATGACAATTGTATAGCAGATCAAAATATACAGGAAGTCTGATAGTAGTATAGTTCTATGCTGTGATTAACGACGCCCAAGCATATACAGTGATATACTCAAGAGAGGCATACTATTTCTACGAAGTACAAGCTACTCTTAATAAAAAAATATAATGGTACAACATACAAGTAACAACCACCACCCCCTCCCCCCCCCCCCAAATAGAATGGGATTTGCAACACAATTAAAAGGTATAATTTCCGGTGATTGTCAAACTGTCTAACAATGGATTATTGGTGGCCAAAAATGTATTCCATTCATGCAGAATAATCACAACACATATGAAGTACAGTACTATCTTAACAAGTTCCCAAAAGATTTTCCACGTCTACAAGAGTGATTCATGATTAGAATTTCATATACACCCCTACTTAAATAAAAGGCAGACCCACAATCGCAAAGAATATTTTAGTTAATTCATACCAAATCTTTAATAAATGGCAAAATTGGTCTCAACACTCTGAACTTTACGTAGTAGCCAAAACACAACAAACTAATGACTTGGGTGCAAAGCGTGTCTTTAATAAGATTTCTGGCCACCATTCTCGCGCGGAGCCGGTGTATTAAATTTTTATTATTCGATTTGCGTGCCAAAAATGTTCCGTTAAGGTTTCGGTGGTCATTTAGGCTCTTTAAGGGTCCAAATTCAGCTCGAAATAAGGAGAAAAAAAAAACGTAAATAGCAAATAGAATGAGAAATTACCGGAAAGAAGAGAGAGAAGCATCATCAGAGGAGAGAGAAAGAGGAGGAGAAGAATTGCGTCTACATCGAGCAATCAAACCTCGAACAACTGGAAAAATAAACTTGAAAATTTGCCATACAAAGATGAGAGAGATTGCAGCAATCGCAGCCCAACCTCCTCCTTTGTTTTCCTTCCATAATTCTCTAACTTCTGATAATGTTGACGATGATGACGATACCAAAACTTCCGCCATTTTTTATGTTCCTGATTACTTTGCTGAAAACCCTAATTTGATTGCAAGCATCAATCAATGAAAATGAGAGATGATTTTGATGGTTTACTGTGGTAAGAATGAAGAAATTTGATTGAATTTTGGGAAGCTAATTTGAATTGAATTGATTCGAATTTGATGGAAACTGGAAATCCGCCATTGATGAGGTTTTGGAAGTGAGGAAAGAGGAGAAAAAGGATAGAGTGTTTATAACGACTGTCGAATAAGTAACACACCAATCTCTCTTCTAGTGATGTTGACCTGTCTTGGATTGACAAATGGGCAACATCTACTTAATTCTTCCATTTTTTATTAATTGCATCATTTGGACTTTACGAATACCATTTCAGCACTTCTCGTAATTTGTAGAAGCAGAGACGTTAGTGGCGGTTCCAAGAATTTTTCCTTATGGGTTCGGAGCCTCGGAGTTCATAAGATAATCTAGTTGATTGATGTATGTCGATAAATATAATACAATACTTGTACAAAATAAAAGTATGATTGTGTAAAATAAAATACTTCACATGCTTTGACTTTAATGAAAAGGAAAAAATATTCCGTAAAAACAGCGAAATGAAGCAAAAATAATTATTGAAATTTACAGGGTAGTATATAACATCTCAAGTTAACAAAATAAAATAGATCAGATAATTAAAAACAGCGAAATGAAGCAAAAATAATTATTGAAATTTACAGGGTAGTATATAACATGTCAAGTTAACAAAATAATGGGATTTGATCCCACGTCAACTAGTGAGATTATTTCACAAGAGTTTTTGACCGTTGAACCACGGACAATGCATAGTATCATACAATAGTTGTATTCTATTTATCTTAAATTTGTTTTATCTCTAAATTACGAATTTTTCCCAAATCCAATATGGGTTCAACAACCCACTGAACCCATACTGGAACCGTCACTGAGAGACGTGTAGTACTGTAATGAAAAATACTTGTCATAAAATTTTACATCATATCAGAGTTATCGAGATATATAATATTATGATATAAATACTATGAATTATACACTAGAATGGAAAGTTTGAAATCTAATGGAAAGTAGTGGCGCAGTGAAATATTGCAATTATAAATGAATGGAAAAAGTAAGTGTATCTTGCTCTAATATTGATTAAATTTATTAGAGTATGTACCAAGATACACCCAACTCTGATGTGAAAACTTATTTGAACATTTTGTTGCCTACTTGAAAAGTCCTCCAAATGTTGCTATCAAGGATAAACTAAATGCCCAGCATATATGAACAAAGGGGGAAACTAGCTAAAAAAAAAAATTGGTACAAATTACAACAAGATGTGTGTACACGGATGCACAGTAGAGATAATCACAAATTGAATTCAATTGGCTTATAAACAAAACAAAATTAAAATCAAAAGAGATAATTTTAATTTTGTATTACCATGTGTTTTTGTTAACACCTCAAAATTTGTGGTTATTTGCAACCAAATAATAATTGTGGTTTTTTTTGCAACCAAATAATAATTGTGGTTTTTTTTGCAACCAAATAATAATTGTGGTTTTTTTGCAACCAAATAAAAATTGTGGTTTCCTTCTAATTGGGGTAGGACTTATATGTCAGCATGTGTTGTGACAAAAGTTTACTGATAAACTTCAAAAATTATTTATTGAATTGGACTTTTTTGCCTTTCATAATGGATTAATCATCACTAATACATTATCCAAGATGTTTATTTGGGAAATACTCACCCTTAAAAGTAGAATAAGCTTTCAATTTTCTCTTTCCTTTCAATTTCCGTACAATTTTGGAGATAATAGAATAAAAAGTAAAATGAAGATATTATAAACTTCTACTCTTATTCAAAAAAAAAAAAAAAAAACTTCTACTCCTGTCACTCCATGACAGATTTTTTTTTTTTTAAATAAAAAACAGCAGGTAAGCAAAATTTTACAAGTGTAAGAATCAATCCTATGACAAAATTTTATGGTACATCTCAAGTCAATTGATCAGTTACAAGTTACAAAAATAGATATGCAAGAACTTCTAGGCCTCAACTAACCCAAATGCTAAACCCCAAAGCTAATATGGATGCTGACCAATCTAGCTAGCTCTCGATCATTTACAAGAAAGTAACAATTATATTTGGGCTATTGCCTGTAGTTATGGATCCTTCGGATACAATTTGCTTCTATCTGCAAGAGCTGTTCCAATGCACAGCATGTCAAGTCTACAAGTATATACTGCTGCCTGCTGGTGTTCAGGTTAATTCAACTTCCTGATTCATGTCAGATACTTCATCGCTTAAATCACGACCTGATGTTTCGATAGGGAACAACAAGACAGATACCCCAGAAACAAAGATTATGGCCTCAAACAGAAGAATGGCTGTAGTTCGGTGACAGCCATGAATTAGACTAACTGCCACAAGGGGGCAGGTCATTCCACCAATTCTTCCCATAGAGCTGGCAACACCTACTCCCGTTGTTCGAACTGAGGTTGGGTATATCTAGTCAAAAATAGACAGAAGATTAATATTGCAAAATTAGCAAGTACAAAAAAATACATAAAATGAATAATATGCATCTGTTAGTAGATCAATAAGCTCCTGTTAGTCCTGTATAATGGCACAGTACAGATACTAAAGGTCAAGTTGTCAACATCATGGACATTTACAGATTCCACAAGTTCCACGTAAATCAAACACAAACTCGTTAACATGCCTTCAATTGATGTTTTTGATCAAAAGAGCTTTATGAGTAAGTTATAAGCAGCAACTCATATTTGCACCAAAAAAAATAAGCAGCAAACAGCTGAGCAAGAATTTGGGATGTCAATGTGGGTCAAGGCATTAAAAGTAATTAAGAAAAGTTGGGTTTCCTGTCCTATGAAATTGCTCTTATCGTTGACAAATTTATCACTTTATTCAATTCTCATTCCTCAATCATCCAAAAAACAGGTATCATATGTTAGTTCCTCACAGTTTAGAGGTTCCACTCTTGTATCACAGTACTTAAATAATACAAGGGGAGAAAAGGAGGGAAACTAGAAACTATTCTCTAAATAGAATCTATAGCATTTATGAGATGTTCTAGACTATTTAATTCACATTGGCTACAGCTACCACCAAAGGTAGTATAGAATGGTAAAATATACAGATATTATTGATTTTTGAGGTTTTGCATTCACAATTTACAGCAACAGAAGGAATACAGGGATACTAAAATGCATTGAAGTTTGAAAGTCACAAGTCAATCACTCGTCAACTGTTACGAACAGCTTAACCATAATTACCAACGTATAGATTACTGATGATGGAAAATGTCCAGCCATTTGGAATGTTTCTTACAGCATGAAAATATAGAAAGTACATCAAATTTGGCAGACTGAGTTCTGTAAGTTACCTCTGGGGCATATATGTATATAATGTTGAATGTCGATGTGATACATATGCGGGCACCAAATAGAAGGGGTGTTACTAAGCCCCCGGACTGATAGAAGGCCAATGGTAAAAGGAAAAGGCAGCAAAGGAAAAACATAGATGCCATAGAAACCTTGCGACCAACTTTGTCCACCATTGCTGCAGACAGAAGCAGCCCTGGAAACTCTAGAATATAGCAAATCAACTGACAGTAATTAGTCCCTTTCACAAGGAGTAACAGGATAGCCATTCCTAATCTGAAATACAAAAGTAATACCTGCAAAACTGGTTATGAAAACATTTCTGTAGTTAACATCCAAAGATTTTCCCGACTCTGATGGAGAATGATTTGGAGTACACTTATTATCACCACTGCTCAGAGCAGTCGTCAACAACACAAGTCCATAATATGCAAATGCATTTCCTATGAACACTACCCATAAGAGCAGGGTTGACCTTAGTAGTTGTGGTGAAAGAAGTGTGAAGACAGATGTTCCTTTTTGTGGACAGCTTGTAGAATCCAAGCTATCAACTATTTCAATTTCTCCTTTGTTTGGTGATAGCAAACGTGCATCTTCTGACGGAAGATCAACTATTTTGGCAAATTGGTGTTCAGAAACAAGAATACCAGGTGGAAGTTCTGCTTGGTTCAATCTTGCTATCCTTTCCAAAATTTCTACTGCTTCATCTGTCCTACCTGTCCTGCACAGATATCTGGGTGATTCGGGTGCAGTTCGGTAGAAGACGAGAAGTACTGCAGAGGGGACTGCAGAAAATGCCAGTAGCCATCTCCAACCCAATGAAGGCATAACAATCTACAAAAATGCCGAGAATAAACCGAGTAAACAAATGGCAATTCCATAGCTGAAGAAGTCTAACCATGACAAATTAAATCATAACCCCAAGTCCTAACACACTCCACCTTTCTATTCATTGGTGGAAAAAGTCATATATGAAGTAGTTGCCAGAATGAATTTCATCCCTCATACATCCCCCAACCCACCCCCCCCCCTCCCCCCTCTCCCCCCTGGCCACCCTTTGATAATCAAACCATGGAAACATACCCCTTCTAGCTAATTCCTCTTTCTACATAACAAACATGGGATATATATACTCCCATGTCCCAAATCCCACTAAGAAGCAGCCCAAAATAGAATTAAAAATGTAAATTGGGTTATTGCTATTGATTTATTGCTACTGTAAGCGTGCATTGACTGATACAGGCCAGAATCAAAGAAAGCAGTTCATTAAATGGTACAAATGTGTTCCAAGAAAGAACAAAAGGCAAACATTATAGGATGGAGGGAGTATCTATGAACATTTTCTAAACTTTGAGGCTCAAGTAATTCAATAATGGCATTGTCTTAACAATGAATATTGCTATTTAAAATTACATCTGTACATTATTCCTTCCAAAGTCTGCTTTTCATTTGCTAATGGCAAATTGTTGTATTCTTTTTTAAGACAGTACCATCATAACACACAAAAATTCATAAAAACTAATAATGGTATAGGAGGGATAATGTTGTTTATAGAATTATACCCAAGCTAGTGAAGCCTCCAATAAGGTCCCAACAGTCCAAAAGGCTGAAAACAGAGACATCCAGGTACCTCTTCTGGGAGCAGGAATGAATTCCAAAAGCCAGGATGACAATACCGGCCCTCCTCCCAAACCAAGACCAACAAAGAAACGAAAGAAGATCAATGTTGCATAGTTTGGAGCAAGAGCGCTAGATATTCCAGCTGCTGATGTAAAAATCGCAGTTATGAAAAATCCATTCCTGGGAGATAAGATAAATTTGATAAAAATGACAAGTCTGTGTGAATATAGGATAAAAGGCATGGCAGCAGCTTTATTATTATCAGATCATAATCATTTTTTACATGAAAGTATGAAACACAAGCTAAACTATACAGGCAAATCAT